CCCCCCCCATCAACACAATTTAGATCATTTCCGAGGCCGTCTTTTTTAAACCCTGTCTTTTAGGACCCCTCCGAGCTGAAAAGGATAATGCTATACCATCCCAGCAAAAAGACTGAGCTACTGGATAAAAAAACCCTGCCCGCTCTGGGATCGAACTCTATCTTCAAGGCTTGAAGCCCTTCTGCGTCGCGTCTTTGCTTCAATGACGTGACCAGGAATTCCCCGCGGCCCACGAGGGGCTAAAAATAGTAACAGGGGAATCTCTGTTGGCCTACTTGCAAAAATGGAATTTTTGACATTGTAGACCACCAGGTACCATTTGGTATTTCCCATTTGATACGTCTAGACCCCGAGCCAACGGTGAGGACCCATTTCTCTTTTCTCAAACTGGATTATGGATTTCACAAACACAGGCAGTCTCCTGGCTTCTGCTGATTTATTCATTACCATTTTTGCTTTGCTCGACGCATTTTTGTTGGATAACCAAATTGAAGCTTGTTGGATGAGAAGGTAAGGACTTTAACATTTAGAAAAAAGATTTAGTAAGAGTTTTATGCCGCTTGCAACTCAATAAGGTCATATAAATGCCGATATTAGAGACATGGTACAAGAGAGTAACACATACAAAAGAAGGAGGAGGACGGATCAGGACGATAGATGTTTGATAGGAAAGAAGGCGCAAACTACACCAGAGCACCCGCTAAACACCCGAATCAAGGACTTTAAACATAATAGTTTTGGACTAAAGTTTGATCAGCCTAATGATTCAACACAGTCAAGCCTGCTCTAACGGCCACCTTTCCAAGACAGTTACCTGTAGAAACAACCTTTCTTATTTCCATCCTGATGTTTTAATTCGTTTCTATAGTTTCTATATTATTATTACATGTAAAATGACATTGTCAAAGACATCCATCTGTCTAAGATGACCCCTTTTCTCATCGACTATGAGTGGCCGTCTTGCACAGTTTCGCTGTACTTGATAAAACGGTTCCACTGAGAAAAGTATAACAATAAGGTAAGAGATGTCACATATTTCTTGTTTGAAATGTCGAGTACTGGTTTTTTACATTATTTTTTTTTACAAAATTAAGGGAAGATTTGCTGGTGTATTAATACTTCATAACAATTATAGCCACCAGTTGAAGATTTTACAGTCACCAGTCACAAATGGAGATATTCACAGATTGATGAAAGGAGCTGGCAGGTATAGTTAAAGTAAGAGTTATACGGTTTATTAAACGAAGTAAGAGTTATACGGTTTATTAAACGAAGTAAGAGTTATACGGTTTATTAAACGAAGTAAGAGTTATACGGTGAAATGGAACTTGCAATACTGGTAGGTCATATTCGTTGTAAGTGCCGAGCGTTAGAGATGTTACTTGAGGGTGATAATTATACGAAGACAAGAGAAAGGAAAGATACGGATGACAGAACTGTTGTTTAATAGGAAGGAAGGAAGGAAGGCTGGAAGGAAGGAAGGGAGGAAGGAAGGAAGAAAGGAAGGAAGGGAGGAAGGAAGGAAGAAAGGAAGGAAGGGAGGAAGGAAGGAAGAAAGGAAGGAAGGGAGGAAGGAATAAAGGAAGGAAGGGAGGAAGGAAGGAAGGAAGGAAGGAAGGGGGGAAGGAAGGAAGGGAGAAAGGAAGGGAGGAAGGGAAGAATGAATGAAGGAAGGAAGGAAGGAAGGAAGGAGTGAACCCTAGGCTATCTGATACTCAGAAGAAACATAATATCTAATACTCAGATAGCCTAGAGTGATCCCCATCAGCAGAGCACCCACCTCTGATAAGGGTGTATAAGACTGTCGGTAGTCTAGTCACTAGTGGTTAGGCTACCGGACTCGTAATCGTGAGGTTGTGGGTTCAGGGGCTTGGGAGTTGGAGCGTCGGGTCCCACTTGTGTCTTTGGAAAGGCACTTTACACGAATGTTCCTCACTTCATAGACTTGTGAATGGGTTCCTGGCCATAGACAGCGAAATATCTTGTCAGTTAGTATCTATGTGTTTTAGAGACTGTAAAATGGCCGCTTGCTTTTCAGGAAGTTGAGAAAGTTTTTAAAAGTTTTAGAAGAGGTTTTACGGCGCTCGCAACTGCATAAGGTCATATGAGCGCCAGAAGATTAGAGGTGTTACAAGAGAGTAACAAACATAAAAAAGAAGAAGGGGAGATAAGGACGATCGATATTTGATAGGAATGAAGAAGCAAACCACACCAGAGCACCCGTCAACCACCCACGAGAAAGTTTACAGAATGCTATCAAGTCAATTGGGGGTAATACATAAGTGTAAAACGCATAGAGCTTACTGTTGAGATGGGATTTGCCGGTTATTTTACTTGCAGGCTTTTTACACCCCCCCCCCCCTCTCAAATTCGACACGAGCTGGATAATTTTGGAAGCAGGCTTCCGAACGTAATATTTTGAAACGGCTGCAGAACGTGGGGAATACAGTTGGAGGACCAAGAAAAGGATGATCAGCGGAGTCAAAGAAACAAATTTACTCTTTGCATAGCAGTCTGTCAAAATCATTATTTTTGAGAAATACTGAAAATTTCAAAGAGAAGTTAAAGTGCTCCCTTTCAATGAGGGAAAACTGTTATAATTATAACTAGAAAGGAAGCCTGTCCGTTTAATTTATCAGTCTAGCTTTATCTACCGATTAGTCTATCTGTCTGTCTGTCTGTCTGTCTGTCTGTCTGTCTGTCTGTCTGTCTGTCTGTCTGTCTGTCTATCCGTCTGTCTGTCTGTCTGTCTGTCTGTCTGTCTGTCTGTCTGTCCGTTTGTCTGTCTGTCTGTCAGTCTGTCTGTCTGTCTGTCTGTCTGTCTGTCTGTCTGTCTGTCTGTCTGTCTGTCAAAAGACAAGGAAGAGACACGCTGACATTATGTGGTTCATGACTCTTCCAAGAACCCAGCGGCACTTCAAACTTTGAGAAGAGAGAAGCACATCGACACAATAATAAATTTTTAGTTTCTGATTTTTGGGAAGTATAGTTGGAAATGTACCACAGTATGGCCCTTGGTCTGCTGGTGAATACAATATTATGAATCCTTTTTATTAGTTTAAATAAGAGTTTTACGTCATTTGCAACCCAATTAGGTCATTCATATAGGTGCTAAAGATCAGAGGTGTAACAAGAGGGTAACATATTAATATGTTAATATGGAAAATTAAACTTTGAGTACAGAGAAGCACATTGACACAATAACTGCTATAATATGGAAAATTAAACTTTGAGTATTTAAAGAGAAGAACATCGACACAATAACGGTCATTTTATTGCACATCAAGATTTGAGTAAAGAGAAGCACATCGACAAAATAACGGTCGTATATGAAGCACATCGACAAAATAACGGTCGTATATGAAGCACATCGACAAAATAACGGTCGTATATGACGCACATCGACAAAATAACGGTCGTATATGAAGCACATCGACAAAATAACGGTCGTATATGAAGCGCATCGACAAAATAACGGTCGTATATGAAGCACATCGACAAAATAACGGTCGTATATGACGCACATCGACAAAATAACGGTCGTATATGACGCACATCGACAAAATAACGGTCGTATATGAAGCACATCAACAAAATAACGGTCGTATATGAAGCACATCGACAAAATAACGGTCGTATATGAAGCACATCGACAAGATAACGGTCGTATATGAAGCACATCGACAAAATAACGGTCGTATATGAAGAACATCGACAAAATAACGGTCGTATATGAAGCACATCGACAAAATAACGGTCGTATATGAAGCACATCGACAAAATAACGGTCGTATATGACGCACATCGACAAAAAAACGGTCGTATATGAAGCACATCGACAAAATAACGACAGTAAAGATTTAAAAACAGAAGGGGGAGAGAAAAAAAACAACTTTCTGACCACGTACAAAATCAAACAACAGCTATGAGTTTTCGTCTCATTTTTGAGAGCTCGGGTATTTCATTTGATTTCAACCTATCTCCGCGGGTGGTTGGTGGGTGCTCTGGTGTGGTTTGCTCTTTCTTTCTCATCAAACATCTGTCATCCTGATCTTTCCTCCTTCTTTTTTATGTTTGTTACTCTCTTGTAACACCTCTAATCCTCGGCACTCATATGACCTTATTGTGTTGCAAGTGCCGTAAAACTCTTACTAAAACTAAACTAAACCTGTCGCCTCCTTCTTTAGTCTGCAACATACACACAATAGTTGAACTACATGCGAGGCAGCGTTGTGACATCAGGCGGCGCACGTCAAAATAATGTTGTTGAAGATAGTGACATGTTTCTGCCAGTTTGGCAATTTTTATTGAATATTTTTGGCTTAACACCATTGTTGTGCAATTAAAAACACATTTCTGTGTGAATTTGACTGAAAAACGCTGATTAAAGGCACAAAAAACGTGAATTTTCCAAGGACTCTCAGGCTGCGGAAGTAACCAAACTTTGGTGGTGGTTTTCTCACTAATTTTACCGTTGAAACCAGGCGACTCTAACTTCCTTCAATTCCAAATATGTGATGCAGCGTGGTGGAATCAGGCTCTCGTCAAAATAATCAAAGTGAAGAAACTTGCATTTTTCCGCAGGTTTGTCAATTTTTATAAAAATTTTGTGTTTTGGCTCAACACCTTTCATGCCCATTAAAAAACACATTTCTGTGTGTATTTTTCTGAAAAACGTTGATAACAGGCACAAAAATGTACATTTTCAGTTACCTCGGACTCTTAAGCTAAGGAAATAACAAATCTTCAGCGGCCATTTTCTCACTAGTTTTACCTCTGAAAACAAGTGACCCCCACCTCCTTCATTCGCAAATATCTCGACTTGTATTCAAGATAATAAATGGATATTTTTTTCATTCTAATAAACACAAGTGAACAAGCTTTAAGATGATACCAATAACTCTACATGCCCCAAAAATTGACGAGAGCCTCATTCCACTGCGTTGTGACACATATCTCTACTTCTATTCAAGATAGATGAGTATTTTTTCCACAAAAAGGAAGGCAAATACACAGGTTTTAAGAGGATACCAATAACCCCATATGCCCCAAAATTGACGAGCGCCTGATTTCACCACGTCGTGACACATATAAGAACGTTGCGGACATACTATTATATGAGTGGAGGGTTAGCGGGTGTTCTGGTGAGCTTTGCTCCGTTTTTCCTATCAAACATTAAATACTGGCGTTATTTCTCCTTTTTCTGTATTTGTTACCCTTTGTGGGTGGTTAGCGGGTGCTCGGGTGTGGGTTGCTCCTTCTTTCCTATCAAACATCTATCGTCCTTTTTTCTCTCCCTTCTTTTTTGTGTATATTACTCTTTAGTAACACCTTTGATCTTCGGCACTTATATGACGTACTCAAGTGCCGTAAAACTCTTACTAAAATATGTTACCCTCTTGTTACACCTCTGATCTTCGGCACCTATATGAATGACCTAATTGGGTTGCAAATGACGTAAAACTCTTACTAAAACATGATACCCTCTTGTAACACCTCTGATCTTCGGCACTTATATGAATGACCTAATTGGGTTGCAAATGACGTAAAACTCTTACTAAAACATGATACCCTCTTGTAACACATCTGATCTTCGGCACTTATATGAATGACCTAATTGGGTTGCAAATGACGTAAAACTCTTACTAAAACATGATACCCTCTTGTAACACCTCTGGTCTTCGGCACTTATATGAATGACCTAATTGGGTTGCAAATGACGTAAAACTCTTACTAAAACATGATACCCTCTTGTAACACATCTGATCTTCGGCACTTATATGAATGACCTAATTGGGTTGCAAATGACGTAAAACTCTTACTAAAACATGATACCCTCTTGTAACACCTCTGATCTTCGGCACTTATATGAATGACCTAATTGTGTTGCAGAAGTCTTAAAACTCTTATTTAAACTAATACCAGCAGACCAAGGGCCATACTGTGGTACATTTCCAACTATACTACCCAAAAATTAGAAACTCAAAATTTGTATACATATTTCATAGTATGTGTGCTGTACACTGCTTTTTTTTAACGATCAGGCAAAACAACAACAACAAACAAATAGACAAACAAAAAGCCCCTAACAAAACAAGCAGTGACAAACACCCCCTCCCCATCAAAACAAAATCCTAATAATAATAGATAGCACTTGTATAGCGCAAATCCCCGCACAACAGCAAGTTCTAATGCGCTTCACAATCTATACTATTACCCCAGCAGATCTGAAAACATTCTAAAACAACCTCAACTTCCTGGGAAGCATACAGTGCAAGCGGCCATTTATAGGTGCTAAACACTAACATACTGACAAGTTTTTTCACTGTCTATTGCCAGGTACCCATTCCCACTTGGAAGAAGTGAAGAAAATTCGTGTAAAGTGTCTTTCCCAAGGACACAACGTCGGGCCTACGGCTCGAGCCCCCGAACCCGCAACCTCACGATTACGAGTCCGGTAACCTAACCACTAGGCCACCGACGCCACAAAACAAAATAATCCGATTGAAAGGTCTGTAGTAATGACGAAATTACGCTTCTTTTTTAAAAGTACATCCAAAACGATGTCAAGCGTTACTTCGGTGGCATACTGGTTAGGCTCTCGGACTCGCAACCGCAAGGTCGTGGGTTCGAGTCCCGCCAGGGGCCCGACGTTGTGTTCTTGGGAAAGGCACTTTACATGAATTTTCCTCACTTCACCCAAGTGGGAATGGGTACTCGGCTATAGATAGCGAAAGATCTTGTCAGTTTGTTAGTGTTTGAGCGCTTAGTCAGCTGCTTGCACTGTATGCTTCTCGGGAAGCTGAGAATGTTTCGGAGTGTTCTATGGTCTGCTGGGGTAATAACATAATGTAAAGCGCATAGAGCCTGCTGTTTAGCGGGGGTATGCGCTATACAAATGCTATTTATTATTCTATTAAGCGTTATTGAAAGACTTAAACTACGGTCTCAAAGAGTTAATCCGACCCAGGACTCGGACTCGCTCGCCCATGGTGTAAAATCTTTGTAACCACAAAAATTCACGCTTTGCTTGCTTCAACTTCAAGTAATGCTCTTACAGCTGTCAAAATATTAATGTTATGCTTAGTTAGTTCAGAGTACTTGGCTCCTAGCCAGGTCAATCGATTTACTTCTCCAGCAATTCTTAACTCTTTCGGGAAACAATAGACAGATATCATGTCCGACAAGCTAGTGACCACAGACAATTAAACTGTGGTGCATTTGAAACCACTTTAAACAAAATTTTAATTAGAAACACAAATTTGCATATCACTATATTATGACAATTCTGTTGTTGCGTGTCTTTTTACGCATCAGATACAGAACCCTGAAAGGAAAAATCCGTTTGAGAAGGAGGAATTTTTGTATCGATTTTCAAAAGCCCCCAAAACAGCGCAATCTCAATGGGTTAATCCAGCTTTGTGAGGTTCAGTAGGTAGCTGTTGGCAATGGATACTTTGTGCCTGCTTAGAGTTCGAAAGGTCATGGCCTTGACAACTGCAGGAACGACGACATGTTTGTGATATTTTTAGAACTAACGCTCTGACCAATGGCTCTGGCCAGAGACGGTAAATACCGGTATGATTGGCTCTGACCGCAGAGGGGCTGGTAAAAACCCACAACAACTTGGGTTTGAGAGAGAGAGAGAGAGAGAGAGAGAGAGAGAGAGAGAGAGAGAGAGAGAGTGAGAGTGAGGGAGAGAAAGATATATAAAAAGATAGAGACAGAGAGACAGAGAGAGAGAGGAGAGAGAGAGGAGAGAGAGTGAAGGATAGATAAAAAGATAGAGACAGAGAGACAGAGAGACAGAGAGAGAGACGGGAGAGAGAGAAAGAGAGAGAGAGAGAGAGAGAGAGAGAGAGAGAGGGAGATAAAAAAGATAGAGACAGAGAGACAGAGAGAGAGTGTGTGTGAGTGTGAGAGAAAGAGGTAGGTAGATAGATACGTAGATAGATAAAGAGAAAGACAGAGACACATGCTCACACACCCAGAGAGA